GTGAGAAGGCAGGACATGGCACAAGCAGCAAAGCCTGCTCCAAGAGGGAGGTTTGAGATCCGGCTCCATCACAGCTCACAAGCAGTTCAGTTTGTGAACTATTAGATCCACCCCCAACTGCAGAGACACGAGCATTGCTGGCCAGGATGCCAAACAAGACAGGAGCGAAAGGAGCCAGGCAAAGACTGAGTCAAGGAGAGGGTGGCTGCTGCCAAAAGGCAGAGGAGGCTGAGGACATGAAGTGGGGCTCCAGCCTGGGGAAAGCACAGGAGGTCTGGTGATAGTGGGAAAGGAGTAAAAGGGTTGGGTGTAAGGACGTTTTAGAAGCATAGCAAGACATGAGTGGCTCTTGGTCACATGAAGACTTGAAACAACCACCATCGTGGCTGATGAGCTCATAATTACAGAGAAGGGAAAAAATGTTTCTTTTTGGGGGTTTCCATAAAAAAAACACAAAATACAAGCCAGTATCTGTTCTCTAACCAACAGCATTGCTCCTTCCAGCCAATGGATTCAAGAGGATCCTTCCAAGAGACTTGTTAACCTCCTTCCAAGCAATGCATCCACACAATCCAGCAGAGCTCTGCAGTCACTGCATGGCTCTTACCCTGCTGGGAGGGCTGGAAGCATCTCTCAGGAATGTGAGACCCTGATCCTCTATCTTTGTCCACCAGAGAGACACACTCACATTTCTGGTTATCAGGTTCCATGCCAACTAACATTCCCAGCGTACCTGTCAGCTCCAATCAGTCTCCAGAATACAACTGGCATCCTTGCAAGCATTAATTGTGCTGCCTTTATTTCTTAGGAGCAGCATCCATCTGCTCTCAATAGCTCACATCTGGCATATGGAGTGTTATGAAAAGAGCCCCAGTCCTCTAAGAAGGAAATTATTCCTACAGCCAAGAGATTCATGCAGAACCAAGGTTAGTATTTGTAGTTACAAATGTACTACAAATCATACAGTTACCTGAGGTTTCAAACTTTAGAAACACAATTTCATCTATGGTTTGCTTTTCAATCCCTGAAGAGTTGCTCTTACGTCAATTGTTGTATGATGGAAGAGATTTATGGAGAAATCAAGGAGCATGGCAGAAACCTGAGCACAGGGCATCTACACAGCAAAAATGCCCCTGGCCACTGTCCAGGTCACTGAAGGACTTCTTCTGCAATAAGCAGTGTTCAGGAGGTGTAGACATTCCCTGGCTTACACATTCCCTTCTCAGTTTCACCACCTGGTATGGTACACTGAGCCTTCCTGTGATGGTCCCAGAGCAGCAAAGGGTATGACCTGCAAGCTTCCCAAGGGATGAAGGCCACCATTTCATCTGCTCAAAACATTGGACTGGGACCAGGAGGAAGCAGCCTGTGCCTCGTGCTGGGACACGTGAGCTGAATTGCAGAACAAGTGTCAATCACCAGCCCTTAGAGAGGTGACAATCTGCGTGACAGCAGATGGTTCATGGTGTGGTCAACAGAATGACTAAAGGTAGTAAGGCAGAAAGAGGAGGTCTTGCCACCCTTGGAAAATAAAAGCAGGGTGGTGCTGGGAAAGGCTGTTGCAGTGATGAGCTGTCCAGCACTGGTGACAACTGGACACAATTTGAAGCTGAACTGCTGGAGAGTAGTGTAGGTGAAAGAGACCTGGGGGTCCTGGTAGACAGGAGGATGACCATGAGCCAGCAATGTGCCCTTGTGGCCAAGAAGGCCAATGGCATCCTGGGGTGTATTAGAAAGGGTGTGGTTAGTAGGTCAAGAGAGGTTCTCCTCCCCCTCTATTCTGCATTGGTGAGGCCACATCTGGAGTATTGTGTCCAGTTCTGGGCCCCTCAGTTCAAAAAGGACAGGGAACTGCTCAAAAGAGTCCAGCGCAGAGCTACGAAGATGATTAGGGGAGTGGAACATCTCCCTTATGAGGAAAGGCTGAGGGAGCTGGGTCTCTTTAGCTTGGAGAAAAGGAGACTGAGGGGTGACCTCATCAATGTTTACAAATATGTAAGGGGTGAGTGTCAGGGGGATGGAGTTAGGCTTTTCTCAGTGATGACCAGTGATAGGACAAGGGGTAATGGGTGTAAATTGGAGCATAGGAGGTTCAAGGTGAATATCCGAAAAAATTTTTTTACTGTAAGAGTGACAGAGCACTGGAACAGACTGCCCAGGGAGGTTGTGGAGTCTCCCTCACTGGAGACATTCAAAACTCACCTGGATGAGTTCCTGTGTGATGTACTCTAGGTGACCCTGCTCTGGCAGGGGGGTTGGACTAGATGATCTCTCTAGGTCCCTTCCAGCCCCTAAGATTCTATGATTCTATGATTCTTCACCTCTGTTTCAGCTGAGTTGGCAGTTTGTGTTTTGAGTGTCATTCCTGCCTGGCTGGGGAGGGGAGGACACTTTGCCCTCTGGTTGCAGAGGGAGCAGGCCAGCCAGCAAGGCTGTCAGTAGTAAGTGTGTATGTGTTTTACTTGGCCCTACTCCTAAAATAATTGTTTGGCCACAATGGAAGGTGACAAGTGATTCAACTGTGGCCCCACAGGGAATATGAGGAGAAAATCCCCAACCACTCACACAATCCTGCCTGGGTTGCCCTCAACTGCAGCATCAGCCCCCACCAGCCCTCACTCCTGCCCCAAGAAGTTCTTCTCCTTGCTCCTACTTGGATCAAATGCCTTCTTTGTCCTCCTGCCTGGGCTTAGCAGGAGGGTCACTGACAGCAAGAGGGTGCACCAACCTTCACCCAAATGTGGCCAGAGCTGCTATCAAAAAAACAAACTCCTGCTCAGCTTCCGGCAGGAGCACAGCAAGTGCAGCCAGAATCACTGAGAACACAGATCCTAAATTAACAAACATCTCTACTCCAACAGGCATGCACTGTGGTTTCTCAAGGCTGCAAGTATGAATAAATTTGGATGGATTTTCACTGGATAACATGAAAGACCTATTCTTGACATGGGGATCACCTGCGACTCAAGTTTCCAGTTCTTTCTCCTATGCACCAAAAAAATCATCAGGTCTGGACCTGGGAAAAATATTTTGCTCTCTTACTATGCTCTCAGAAGCAGCTGAACCATTTTAGCCAATCACTTATTCTGTGGGACTTGGGGGTTTGTTGTTTTTGAATAACTGGAGGCATGAATAATTGCCAGCATGGAAAATTTCTGCCTAAAGAGCTAAAATTGGCATAGAATCATCCAACAATCATATAATAAAGGCCTCCAGCAACAGCAACAGTCAGTGCTAGCAAACCTACCTAGAGCATTTTTTTCCACTGTGCTAAGAGGATCTGTTTCACTCCTCGCCTTTCAATCCAATTTCCACTGTACTGCACCACAAGTTTAAAATAAGGACACCAGGAAGCATGTGTGATAAGGGGAAGGAAGAAAAAAACCCACAATTTCATTCATTCTTTCAACAGAGCCAAAAAGGAGTGGTTATGTGTTGGGTTTTGTTTCTTTCTTAAGAAAAAGCTGCAGGGAACAGGGAAGGGGGGAGATGTTTGTTTAAACTTTCCCAGCTGCACCATTATATATATATTATATATATTTATAAATATATATATAAAAATATATATATTTATATGAAGTACCTCTCCCTCTAAAGGTGCTCCAGGGTGTTTTGGAGAGCCAGCTTGAGTCTCTAGCTACAGCCAGCCTCCAGTGATGATGCTTTCCATCTAGAAGAGTGCACAGCTCCAGCCAAGATGGAAGGGGAGGAAGAGATGAAGGATGACCACTATTATTTCTCTACATCTCCTTCCCAAGGAAGAGCAAGGTAGCCTAGGGAAACAGCACAGCTGGAAGCACCCATTTATCACATATAAACCCCAAAAGACTGTGCCTCCCTTGCTTCCCTACATCTCCTTCCCAAGGAAGGGCAAGGTAGCCTAGGGAAACAGCACAGCTGGAAGCACCCATTTATCACATATAAACCCCAAAAGACTGTGCCTCCCTTGCAGCAAACAACTGCATGGGCTTGGCCACCACCTTGGAGCACCAGCAAAGATGAGATGCTGTGGAGAAGGAAGCACTGAGCTCCATTTCCTTCCAGCCCTGGCTGCTGTCCAGCAGCTGTTCCCTGTTTATTTACTTTAATATTTCCTTGGTTACACAAGCAGCTGCACCAGCTTAACCCCTGCCTGCACCAGCAGCCACCCATGCCACCCTACCTGACCTTGCCTGGCATGAGGCTGCAGGACAGCAGCACAGGGCAGGGAAGGACATCCAGGGTCTTGCCAAAGCCAGGTTCTCCCTGGCTGACCAGGGCTTACTCAACATGGTCACCTTCATGGCCATGTCCATGGCTCTGCAGAAGGTGCCTTGTCGGGCAGGGGACAGGGCACCATCATCACAAGCAGACGTCTCACACAATCCCAGGCTTCACAGGCTCACCCAACGCCAGCAGAACCTGGGGAAGCCAGTGCCCAGCTCCTCTCCCAGGCCCATGCAGAGCCCAGGAGGGACATGCCAGCAACTCTTCTGGCAGCTGCCACTGGTCCATAGCTCACTTCATGTATTTTCCTTTCTCATCTGCACAGAGCCTGTTCCAGCAGCTCAGTTTGTGTTTTGGCTCATAAAGCTCAGCCAGACCCCTTGGCTCATCTCCACCAAAGAGGGGGTGGAAAACATCCTTTCCCTGCTCACCCAGAACACCAGCTACAGGATTCTGCAACCCAGCCTATCCCAATTGCCTTTCCAGCCTCCTCCCTCCCTCCCGGCTCCATTTTCCTGCTGGATTCCCCTGCACCAGGAGGTGCTTGCTAAGGCAGCCACTCTCAGCTGCCCTCTGGGCTGGCAGTGCAGCACACCAGGCATTTCCCCAGTGCCTGCTTTTAAGGTTGCTGTGTTCTTGCTTTTTTCAAGGATTTGCATTTAAGTTTCTCAAGATCAACACGTTTTCCAGTAGATTACAAAAAGCTTATCCTAAAGGCAGAAACCAAGCCTCTCAACTCACCACAGGTTTCAATCCTCCAAAGTAAAAAACCCAAGTAGTGGTGAAATGCTCACCTGGAGGTCAAAGAACTTGCTGTACCGTCGGTAGATGACTTCTGTGGACCCATTGGACCAGGTGACTTTGATGATGTACACCTGGAGGGAACAGGAGCAGAAATCAGAGGAGTGACCCAACAACTTGCCCCACAACCCAAACACTGCTAAAGCTGCCAATGCAGCCCCCTTGGATGGGCATCAATCAGGGCAGTTCATGGGACCACTTAAAGTCATTTCAGCAATACATGAAAATATGTGAGATTTAAATTATTAAGCTCCACTGCTCCAACTTGATTATCTACTAAATGCTTATTGATAGTTGTGAACCAAGACATCTCCCTACCCCTAAACAGGGGCACATATCCAATGTGAAAGGGCACTTCTATGTAAAAACACAGCTGAAGTCTCTCCAGACACAGACACATTGTGAGTTGATGACAATTCCTTGGCCATATCATCTATGGCTGCAGCATCAAGTTTGATGTCAAGATCCGAAAACTGCAGCCCACAGTGTGCCCACACATCTCTGCCAGCCTGGGTTCCAGGGCTGGGGCTTGCAAGAACCCAAACCCACAAGGTTTGAAACTCCATCTGTTCCTTCATAAGCAGCACTGAGGCTTTGTTTCTGTCAACGTGCTGGTGTACAAATTAACCTGCTGTTCCTTAAAATGCTACGCAACCAATCCTAGTAGTTGCAGTTATTCACAGACCTTATGACCAGGCTTGTATTGGTGATGAACACAAAAATTCAAAAAACAAAACCACCCCACACCACAAAAGAATTAGCCTATCCCCATTTTTTTATTTTTTAATTTTTTTTCTAGGAAAGACAATAAGCAAATAACAGAACTGGCCAATTACTTACCTAATGTCCTTGCTTGTTGCTCACCGAAACCAAAGATGACCCTTGGCAAGATGCCAGTGTAACACTCAAGTAATGTAAATGTCAGTCTTTGCTAACTGATAACAGATCGACTAAGCAGAACAAGGGCAAGTTGATTTTTAATTCTAACTCTCATTTCCTGCTTACTTCCACCACAAATTCAAGTATCCATTCACTGAATCAGGAACAAAACATTCAGGAGCTCAGGTGAATGGATGTGCTAGAACTCCAGTTAATACAAAGAAGGCTCTCAGGATGCTAATGTTTTGGTATTTAAAGTAGAATGCCTTCAGAGTTTCACAAGGTTTCCCATAGAGATGCACATTTTTCCAGATCCTGGAATGTGACCAACATCCCAGCCCAATATCAAAACTCAAACACCAGGAGACTCAAATGCACAGCACAACACTAAATTATTTGAGCTCATCAAACCTATTAAAATGCTGTGCTAAAAATCTAATTGAAAAGTCACTCTGCTGCTCAGAGGGCTGACAGCATAGCCTACCAAGGTGAGGAGGCTCCTGAGGAACCACAAACTCTTCACAGCAGAATCATTTCCAAATTAAGATGGAAAAGAGGTAGTGAGATTGAGAAAGTCTTTACTGCTAAAAGAAAGAACTTCAATACTTGCAACACAGCAGTTCAGCGTCCACTGTTCTTAAAGCAGATGATCAGCTCAAACACAGCTGTGACTGCTTTGCTGACTTGCTGTGAGCTGACTGGGTGTCACAGGCAGCACCAACCTCTTCCAAGCAATCCAAATTGCTTGACGTCACCTCACAGGCCTTATTCAGCCAACCTCAACCCTCTCATTTCATTGCCAAAGTCTTTTTCTGTGCTGAAGGACTCGTGCTTTCTGCATATTGACACAAGGGAGACAGAGAGCTCCTGCAAGACAGCATCTGTAGCAGCTGTGGAGACCTGGATGGACCATGATTTGGTACATGGGAGGCCTAGACACTGTGCTTACTCACCACCTAATATGGCTTGGCAAGTCCTCTGCGTTGGATCAGGCACAATACCCATTCAAGAACATGCTTCCCAACCTCAACAGGTCAAGGACAAGTTGGCTGACCCCAGTTTGCAATGAAAACTGGTAAAGCCATATGACATGGCCTCTGAAGTACCTGACAGCATCTGTACAGCCACCATCAGACCATCAGCAAACCAACCATTAACTTGATGCTAAGTTAACCCGAGCTGCCTTTACTCTCACCCCAGGACTTGCCAGCAGGCCAGCATGAGCTCATTTTTGTTGGAAGCTCAGCTGGTATCCCAGCTTTCTTACCAGTCTACAGCACTTTACAGGGTTATATCACTGCTGGCTGGCTGCCTGCCTGGAGAAAGCCTTCCAAAGGGGCTGGAGGAAGAGCCAACTTTTCTTCATTGTTTATTCCTATTCTGCCTTTATTTGGAGTCAACAGCTTATTAGACTGGGATTTTAATCAGGATGTGGATTTGCTTGAGCCAAAATGAATTCAAAGCTCTTAAGGGTAATAAAGCCATGAGATTTGAGGGCACACCATGCTTTATTATACCCTTTGCAAGTGAGGGAAGAAGCATTTCTCCCAACCAATGATATCACTCCTATTTTGCTGACATGTAGATGTCCCTGGAGTCTGGATAATGGTATCTTGCACATCTCATTTGAACAGGAAAAAGGTCTCTGGGGATGTCTCCTCACCTACTTAAGGAAAGCAGAAAAGATGGGGAAGCCCACAGGAATGGGAGCTCCTCAGTACCAATAAAAACATGGTCTCAGTAAAGCTGGTTTCCCCTCTCCTTGTGAATATCCCTCATCCTTCACTCTGATGGCCCCATCCCACTGGGGTATTCTGTTGGCCAAAACCATCACAGATCTTGGGCACTGCCTAATACCTAATCTAGTCCAGGCTGTCTCCTAGGGACAAAAAAGACACCAGAAAGCACAACTCAGGTGCTCTACTCAACTGACAAGACGTGCAGATTTTGAAAAGGATGGTGCAGTCAGCCAGCCAGCAATGGTTCTCACAGGGACTGCAGATGATGAGGCACCCAGCTACCACAAGCACCCACACATCCCTTCCTCAGGTGCCTTTGGAAGACATTTTCAATGATCAAACTAGTTTTGAAAACATTGTACTTGGTCTGTCATTTCCCCTCCTGGCCTGGCACTGCAGCATAGCCTGCCATGAGCACCCACCATGGAGAAGCAGCCCCCAGAAAAAGTTTTGTCCTGATAGGAGCCACCCCATCACCTACTCCCACAACCCTCAGTCCTGCAGAGGCTGCTCCGAGGATAGGCTTTTTCCCAGCCCAGCTGTGGGGGTGAGGGCATGTTGAAACAGTTACTTCATGGGTCTTCTCCAGCTCAAATTTCTACAGTACTTCAAGGAAATAACACAGAGAAACCATCAGCAGGCCCTTTTCCATGGAAAGGGCAAGGGGATCTCCCAGGGCTGGAGCTGGCACTGCCTCAGGGACATGTACCCACAGGGACCACCACTGGGAATGGGTGGAAGGGCTGGTCAGATCCTGCCCTGCTGTTTCCTTGAGGGGTGGGAAGAGCCAAGCAGATGGCAGGGCAGCCAGATCCAGGAGGGGGGCTCTGCAACCCCATCACGTGGGATGATTGGGCCCATGGCCAAAACCAACAGGCAGAGCTATCTAAATATTTACAGCCCTTCCCGGGCCAGCAGCAGGGGCTGCACCACGGAGGGAACTAGCTGACTCGGTGAAACCGGGGATCCAGGGCTCCCCTCCCTCCGGAAAGGACACTTACCCTGCCCCACTGCCAACCCCAGAGCCTCCACCCCTTCCTCTGCTCCTGCCTGTGTTGCTCCACACATGTCACATCAAACCCCGCAGCTGATGCCTGAAGCAAAGGGGCAGGCAGAGCTTTGGAACAGGCAGAAATCACTAGGGTTTAACCCTCCTTAGCTTCATTTCAGCCATCGCTCGGGGGAGCACAGATGAAATTCATGCCATGCTTCTGCAATCCATCAGACACTGCTCACAGCGTTTGTCCTACTACAGCAAGGTGCAGAGGAGGGGTTCAGAGCTTTCAGGGTCCCTCAAAGGCATTCAAAACTCTGCTTTTGGGATTAAGAAGGCCATGCACCAGCACCCTGAGCCTCCATCACTCCTCTCCCAGCCACAGCTCCCCTGCCCTCACACCATGACACCGCAGTCCTGTGTTCCAGCCAGCTGAGTTACCAGCAGGAGTTGCTCCCAGAGGGACAACCTTACCAGAGCTGCAGCAAAGACCAAAGCAAGGAAAAAAGAATTGCCTTCTGCTTCTTGGGGGGAGGGTTTCATGAGGGGTGATGAGGCCCTGGGACAGTTTTGGAGATGCAGGTGGATATTGTTTAATGCCGGAGGAAAGGAGTACTTCACATTTATGACAAATGTTCCCTGTGCTCCTGTCCCTTGGAGGAGAGAAGCAGATCAGGTCCTTCATAGAAAATGGAAACCTGCAAAAGGCTGAACTCTGACAGACACTGGGAGGATTTGGCTCCCACACTCCCTAGGTTTCTCAATTGCCCAGTATTACAAGTAATTACTTAAAAATTACCTGTCAAGAAGTTTATCTCCTCAGGACCTCCATCCCCCAGGATTCTCCTTTGTCATGTAACTGAAGGGGATCTACAGGAAAGCTGGAGAGGGACTTTTTACAAGGTTGTGTAGCTATAGGACAAGGGGTAAGGTTTTCAAACAGAAAGAGGGTAGATTTAGATTATATATTAGGAAGAAATTCTTTAGTGTGAGGGTTGTGAGACACTGGAACAGGTTGCCCAAATAGGTTGTGGATGTTCCATCCCTGGAAGTGTTCAAGGTCAGGTTGAATGGGGCTTGGAGCAACCTAGTCTAGTGGAAGGTGTCCCTGATCATGGCAGAGGGGTTGGAACTAGATGAACTTTAAGGTCCCCTCCAACCCTAAACATTCAGTGATTCTTTGTCTGAAAGCAAGTGCCCTGAATAGAAATATAAAGATGGAAATGAAGGCCCTGGGGATTTTGCAGCTGGCCTTGCTGGGCATCATTGAGCTCAGTCCCCATGGCATCCTGCCACTCTCTCCCCTCTCCAGCACCTCTGGAAAAGCAGCTCAGAGGGAGGACAAGCCAGTGGAAAGCAGGACTGAAAACCTCTGTAAGGAAACTGTCGAAAAGTGACAGGTTGCTAAAAGAAATGCAAGTGGCACTTGGCCAACTGTAACAGAGCTGTCAGCGAGAGCTGC